TAAGAAATGTGACATGGTCTTCTCAATTTTCCCAGGACACTTGCTGGTAACGCTGTATTTTTTAAATTTGGAGTTACAGCAACTTTGCTTTTTTTTTTTGGTACTTCTCTTTATCAAAATGCTTCATTCTATTATCTTTTTATCTGTTTCATTTACTAATTTCATGAATTTATTATTTTATTTATTAAACAGGGAAACAGAAATGACCACAGACATAGTAAAAGGGATTTATATCCTTGCCTAAACAAAGGAGATTGGGGTTTTTTCCTCTTTTTAGTTATGAAGAGGCAATTTTCACAACAACCAATCAATTCTAATACCTTAAAATCTCAGATTCAAAAGATCTATATTTTGCAAAGAGCGATAGTTCCATAATTTGTTTAAAAATTACTGTTTTGGGCAACTAATATAATTGTAAGTTTATTTTTCCAAGGGCACAACAATTTCAGTTTTAAAGACTATCCAGAATGTGTATGAGAACGACATTGTTTTTTATTTTTTAGGACCACTAAGCCTCTGCATGAGTTCATCCATAATGTGAAAGCTAAAATCTTAAATGTGTATGCTTTCTGTCATAAGCTAGGCTTTCTAATAGGTTAATAACATGGAATAAGAAGCATATAATTAGGAAGGGAGGACACTCAATAAAATTTCTCCAGAATTTTTATTTCAATGGCCACATTTAATTTTCAAATTAACAAACAGCATCTCCTCAGCTGGGCAAAAAAGTGAAATCCAGCTATCTACTGTTTATAAGAAATACCTAAGTTTCAACACGGATCATTTGAAGATGAAGGAGGAAAGATATTCTAGTAAATGGCAAGGAAAAGGAAGCAGAGGTAGCAATGTTAAGAGCAGACTACATACAATTTAAGGAGAAGAGTAAAAAGAAAAGGCTTAATTTATATTGATAAAAGATCCAATGCCATTATACACATCACACAGAACTGCATAAAACACATGATGACAGTAGTAAGACAGACAAAAACATCATTCTAGCAGAAGATTTTAACTTTCCCTAAGGATCTGACAGATCAAGTATACAAAGTAATAAAAACCTAGAGAAAATTTCAAAGCACCTGCATGAACAAGCTTAAGTCATACCCTAGAAACAGAAAATATATTCTTTCCAAATTCCCACAGATTATTTACAAAATTAGACCAGGTGAAAGACCACAACCAAATCTCAAAAAATTCTAAAACCTAATCACATAGATCACACATTTTAATAATCACAAGACAATAAAACTAAGAAACTTATATATAACACAAAGAAAATCGATTATTATCACTATCATCTAAAAGTTTAGAATTATACATTTGAAAAAAGTTTTACTTTTCCTCCTCTAAAGAGAAATTGTTTGAATATGGTGTCTTTCAACAAAGTCAAGCTTAAGTATGATTATCCTATAAATAATAACCACAAGTTTATTTAAAAAAAAAAAAAGGCTAAAATTTCAAGGAGGCTCAAAACGATGAAGTAATAATTTTCTTGACCCCTCCCCCAGCAGAAATGTTTATTACCAGTCTTTTATTCATAGGAATGTCAACTTTCACTTAAATACTGAAAAACACACAGGAACAATATACAGGTTCAAAAAGATAGGAAGAAAAAACCATTCATAAGGACAAAAACTAAGACACAGAAAGGAGAAGAAAACACATTTTAGAAAAACAAACTTCTTAGAGACCATTTTAACTGTTTTTTCCCCCCTAAGAACACTATTCATAAAGGTGTTTACTAGAAAACCACAAAATAAGCAAACTAATACAGGTATCCCCTGCTTTTTGAAAATCTGTTTTACTCCACTTGGCTTTTATTAAAGATCTATATTAATACTTGTTTTCGCTGACTGAAAGAAATCCAAAGAGATTTTCACTTTTACAAAAAAAGGCGAAAATATAGCATTCAGCATTTGTTCTGCAGAGAGCCATTATAGGGGCAGTGCATCTGGGGCAGTGAGAATGGCACTGCCAAGCTCTTCCCAGTGAAACTGAGGGTCCTTATGACATTGATTAAATTTAGCTTTAAATCCTAGCTCTAGAAATCATCTATCTCTCTACCTCTCAAGACCTAGCCTTCTCCCTGGGTAATCAGCAACCCTGGAGGCAGCAGAAGACAGCAGCCTGGATCTGACTAATGGTCACAAAGTCTGGACCTCTGGCAGGCTAAAGATAACACCTTGACCAAAGTTATGTTTCAGTGCCTTAGTCCTAAGGTGGAAGGGCCCCCTGGCTACTTTCCCATGAGACTGGACAGAAGGACAAGGGAACAGATCTCAAAACTGTTCTCAAGACCAAAATAAATGATTTATTACTCTTCCTCACCTCTAACCAATCAGTTCCCAGCATGACCCCACCCTCCTAACCTACGGTGTCTTGTGATTTTGCACTATATACTCTAAGTTACAGGTCATTGGGGAGTTTGGGCTTTAGAGAATCAACTTCCTATTCTCCTGCATGGCGTCTCCACTGCAATTCTCAATGTTTAGAGTTTGGCTCTGTTAGTGCCCTTTGGATGAACTCTTTCTATTCTAGAACACCTGGGAACCACACTCAATATCACGGTCCCATAGCTCTTAACTGTGTCTTTGAACATCTGAGCTTTACCTCCATTTACTTTGTGTATCTGCTACAAAAGTGTGTCCTCAGGTAATGAGAAAAGCCTAGGAGAGCCTGTAAAGGTGTTACTTAACACTCCCCAAGGAACAAGATGCAACTAAGCACATTTGGTATGATCTTGTAGGTTATTTGGGGGATCCGGGAATAACTCAGAAATGTTTCCTTACTAATTAATAGCACCAGCTTCTTTGATTTATGCATTTTTGTCTTAACACAAAGTTTCAGAGGAACGCTTTGCTTTCGTACAGAAGGGGAAACCTGTCATTATTTTATTTCATTTTGTTATAAGAGTAAGAAAAAAAACTTGTGGCAAAAAAAGATAGTGTGCTATCAAATACAAGAAATAAAAAATCATATATTTCAGATAAACAAAATCAAATAAGCATAATTTTTCTCCAAATAAATAGAAATTTCTAATTGGCAATTATAAGAGCTGATAATCTCCAGACCGTCAAAGAATCCAAATTCAGTATGTCTATATTACTGATGCTCCTCTGTGAATTAGACTGAAGGCCTTCTGGTAACCAGCTCCCATTGGACAGTGTTTAAGGCATAGCTGCCTTACAATTAATTTTATAACACAGCCAGTAAGTCTCTTTATTGTAATGTGCCAATACATTATGCAATAATTACATCTCAATGACAAGTACTTTATATTCAGACATTCAATCTCTATTAAAATTGTGATATTTGAAAGAAAGAAAACCCTGAGGTACTCAGAGTGTGCAAGATGCTTTATGTTCTCTGAGTCATGGCTAGGGCAGTTACCTTGCCATTCGTACAATAAAAAAGTATTATCTCTCCCTCCTCTGAATGAACATCTGTGGTACTTATTGTTGCTGTCACTCATTTGGCACACAGTTTTGAAGTAGTAAACTTTTCACACATGCTTCTGATCTGAATAAATCCCTTTAGGGCAACAGTAACATCTTCTTATTAGGATCTTTCATACACTACTTCACAAGTAGATGTTTCTTAAATATTGACTATTGTTAATTAACTTAGTAATACCACCAAGCATATCCTTTCTTCAACATCACCTCTGCAGCATGGCTAACTGTTTTAAATTCTAGAGTGCCTATACTTTCAAATGTTCTGAAACACTAAAATAAAGCAAACAAAACTATAAGGTCTATTAAAATAGCTAGATTTTAGGTAAGTGGCATTAAATAAAATGAATTACTTTTCTTTAGATTTATCCTAATTCTAATCAAAAGTCTTCAAATATCTAGGTTATAGCAGAATTGGGTGGGACCTAACACTGTTTTGTTTAAGTTCCAGTCCCTGAATGGGAAAACTACAGCAACAACAAGAACGATGACAAAGCTTACCATTTGTCCCAATCTGTACTCAATCAGTGGTCACTCCTACAACTTCTAAAAGGTTCCCATGCTCTTGGTCTTAAGCAATTCAAACTTATGCATCAGAACATCCCTAAAAACTTGTTAAAACACAAATTGCTGGGCTGTGCCCCTAAGAGTTTCTTATTCAATTAGGTCTACAGTGGGCCTAAGTATTTGCATTTCTAACATATTTGCAGGTGATGCTGATGCCACTCATCCGGGGACCATACTTTGAGAACTACTACTTCATCTATTTTTGTTATGTTTATTGTGCCTGATTAATTCATTCATATCAAAGATTTATTCTTCCTTTTTAGATGAAGCTTGGTTTTTTTACCTACTGTTCTAAACAGGTGTTGGTCATATGGTGTAAATGGCAAACATCATCTTTGTGTGGAGGTTTTCAGCATGAAATCAAATGTTTTTGGGTAACCAAGGGGTGACTCCTTAATTTTTCCAGCTCCAAAATGCCACACAACCATTTGGAGCAGGCGACTACCTCTACAGGGAAGCACCAAAGAAGTTATTCAGTATACATTATCTTAATTTATTACAGAGATGCACATACTATTCTCTCTGCCAGGAATGTTTTCCCCTCCCTCTTACCTGGTTAACTTCACCTTTTCTTTCAGGTCTTAGCTTAGGGGCGACTTATGCAAGGTGGCGTTCCATTTCTTCCTCATGACCATGTCAAACCTTCCTACTATGGGTTCTCATAGAGTACCTGAATCCCCTCCTGTGTAGTCCTTGTCATGCTTTAATTTTTTACATTTATTTATATAAATATTTTATTAATAGCAGTTTTCTACACTGGACAACAAGCTCCCTACAGACAAAGAATGTTTTTAATCATCATTATATTTCCAGTCCCTAGCACAATATCAGGCATATCAAAGATGTTCGAATAAAGGCAGACAAGATCTGAGCTTTTTTAGCCCTAAGAGAGGTAAGAGAAAGTACTCTTCTATACTCTTCCCCTTTACGGATTTTCAGCTACCCAATATTCAAAATTAGGAAAGAAAAAAAAAGACTTACCTTTCCTGAATAATTCTTGGAGACTTTCAGCACTTTGATTTAATACAGCCCATATTTCTTCCTCCTGCAGGGGTCCACCACGAACCTCCAGGGCCTCAGCTAGTGACACGTGCATATTACCTAGGAAACAAAGGTAAAGATGATCTACCCATCATCAACTTTACTGCACTTGCTGTAGTGAAAGTTCTACATCAGTGATGAGAGACTATGAGGTTCCTGTCTACCTAATTTTTCAATATGGTTTTCTATCTAAATATAATCTTACACTTAAACTCATAGAGGGTAAAAGAATTGAAGGGGGGAAAAACCTCAAAGCAACCACTTTCCCTAGCACAACAGTGTCAACCTCAGAGACAGGACTACAGAATAGTGGTGCTGTTTCATGGGAGAAGACAGAGAGATCGCAGGGTCTCAAAAGGCCAAAGTGCAGATGATTAAATCAAAGCAGCCAGACTAAATTGAAGGCCTTTCAGATCACAGTTCCAGGCTTCACCCTTCCCATCCAGGTAAAAAGAGTACGAGAAGTAAAGAGAAGACCCTATACTCATAGTGGGAGAAGCTGCGAATAAGATGGAATATATCTCTTCCATTCATTGACTGATTCCGTATCTCCAATATATATATACTATAACTATAAATTGTATACTGAATGGACTTAACTATTTCTAGAACCAGCTTTGCTCCCCAAAATGTGCCACTTTGGCATGTGAATTATTTTGAGCTGATGGCAAACTGAGACCCTTTAGGCCCGAGAAACTTTTACTTCTCCTTAAAGAATTTAAATTTGGAGCTTTGCCCATAGAAAGAGTTATTACTAGAGATTACTTTTTTTGAGCTATTTAGAGGGCAGGGCAAACATCTAATTACTGAACATCTGTTCTTATTGTCCTTTAAATGACCTTCTTCCCCTCTGAAGCTCCAAGTTGCCTTACCTCATCCTGAGTTCAGAATGCCATATATACCTCATCTTAACTTTCTGTCTCTGACTCTCTCATGTGTGCGAGGTTCCCATATGTACATATGTAATTAAATTGGTTTATTTTCTCTTGTTAATCTGTCTCATGTAGATTTAATTATTAGACTAATTGAAAAAAACCTTAAAGAGCAAAGGGAAGTTTCTTCCTCCCCCAAACTGCCAATTTACCATTTGCCCCTGGGAAAGTCATTTCACCTCTAAACCTCAGTTTCCCATTTGTGACATAGGAATAATAATAATAATGCTACTTTGGGGTGACTATGACAAGGAAACAGGTTATGCCTATAAGCATGTTTCATAATCTAAGTACAAAAATTCAGAAAGGTGCCTTCGTGGTAACATTTTTGTAGGGTTAATTTTTTCAGTGGTATTCAACTAAGTAGGTAATCTATGGGTTTTCTATGGGTCTCAATAATCCTATTTTCATTTTGGAAGGGAGAAATGCAGCTAGTCAAAACCTCCTACTACTCTTTCATTAGTGGGGTGGGGCAAGAAGCAGGGCTATACAGAGGGTCAGCCTGGAGCTATGAAATCCTATCCAGATGATTCAAAAGGTCCCAAAAATTTATACTGCGGTAATTGATCTACAGCTCTGTGCTTACACTAAAAAACACTAAAGGTACATTTTAAAAGACTGAATTTTATGGTATGTGAATTACATTTCAATAAAGTTGTTTTTAAAAATCCTAACCAGGGTACCACTCAAGGTTCCCAGAGTACCACCAGAAGGAGAATGGGGGAGGGGGAGGATGGGGGGGGAGGAAGAATGAAGGGAGAGGAAGAGGAGGAGGAAGGGAAAAATTAAGTCTCACAGGTATTTTGGTTTGAGTGAAGAATTCTGAAGAACCCAGAAAAGTACAAGTAAAAGAGCCACCCTGCAGCACATATCAAGTTCAAAACGAATGAAGCCAGTTTACAACAGGAATCAGGTACAAAATAGCTAGCCTTCTACCTTCCTTCCTTCTCGCAGGTTAAGTCCTGGGGGGTGAGACAGCAACTTGCACATGGGTGAGGAGAGAGGCAACAAAAAGAGACGCCAACCCCACCGTCGCCCTCCTACAGCTAATCCCAGCTAAGGAAAGGGAAGTTTTAGTTTTGAGTGGAGGTTGCAGTGTTGGTTAATACACTGACTAGGCACTTTTCATTATGGAATTGACATTGCGTTTGTAGTTAAGTGACTATAGTTATTATTATAAAAGGGTAAAACAAATTATGGGCATGAGTTTTCACATAGAAGCAAGGGGACAACAAGGAAGGAAGGAAGGAAGGGAGGAAGG